GGGGGGGGGGGAACCCGAGCAATGCACACTAGGGCAGCATGTGCTACTGAAAAGCAGATCCAGGCTGCCCAGAGCCATACTGCGGCTGCTGGCCATGCTCTACCTGGCAGGATCAAGGCTGCTGGGTCTAGCACAGTGCTGGCCCCAGCCTCCCCAACCATCCACAGGGTAACTTGCTGCATGCCAAAGTGTGCGTGGCATGGGCGTTCCCCGGGGACAAGCAGCTGCAGCACAAGGTGCACCATTGCTGCTTGTCCCTGGGGAACCACATGTTCATGCTCATCTGAACGTGCCCTCTGGCAAAAAGGCTATGCCAGGATTTGGTTCAGGTCTGGCAGCATCCACTTACCCTACAGGGCTATCAGTGAAAAAGTGACTATATTAAGTACACTGCATATCTTCTTTTAGGCTAGTTTATACATCCCCTCAAGTAATTCCACTCTGTCCCTGCCAACTCTGGGTTATGCGGAGATTGCTTTTTTCAAGGAAAAGGGGAAAGAAGACTCCATGGACAGATTCAGGTGCCACTATGTACCTGCATGCACTCTCTCTCTCTCTCTCTCTGTGGGGGAGAGGGGTGTGGAGGTGGGTGGGTGTTTGGTTTTGCTTTGTATGAAGAAACATATATTTATATAGATCTGAACTTTATTTCTTCTAAGCTAGATTTCGGGTATACGTAGCATATTCTGCATTAGAGTCTTCCACTTTTTGGACTTCTCGAAAAAGTATCTAACAGAAATGTGTATAGAGTACAAACTTAATAAGATTAGCAATCAATACCTTTGAAATATGAAGCAGACACTGAACCCCTAAGGCTGTGCAATCTTTGGCTAGTTTTGGTGGGAATTTAGATTGTTACTTTGGGTATGCTACCTCCTACGTCTTTTGCATTAATGCAACTATTCACTACCAGGACAGAATAGTAATAATATGATAAATTTACCTTATAGAAGAGCAAGATGAAGTTGATGGCAAAAGCAACAAACAAAGCCAACATCCTCATGTTATAAAAATTACGAGCAAAATAGTTCTGAAAAGAAATATAATAAAACAAATAAAGCTTGTTTGTTTAGGAATAAATTTATATATCTGATTTCTCCACCCATGATAAACACTAAAGATTATTTTAAGAAACATGTTTGTATTAATTAGAGAGATTTACTATTAAGCCTGCTGCTCAAGAATGCTTCTTCTCTCAATCCCCTCCAAAAATTGCTTGAAATGAAATACGTGAAGGTTTGACTCAAAGCCTAGACTTTCTGAGAACTGGAGAAATGTGGATAACCTGGGGTATGTCTGTCATGCAAATAACTTATAATCACAAAGAAGGAAGGGCTGGGATCCCAGGAGGTCATCTAATCCAACCCCCTGCTTAAGGCAGGATCATCCCTGTCCAACTATGTTAGACTAGTGTTTTTCTAACCTGTTCTTAAAAAGTTTGGGACCAATTAGTTGAGAGCTGTGTGAGCAAGGTACAAGCCCTGGGTATTATGGGTATTAAAACAGTGATCCCCAACCCCCCGTAAGTCTTTGCTGTGCCAGGCAGTAGCAGCTGGGTGCACAAACACCACAGTAGCAGCCAGGGAAGGGCAGGCAGAAACAACAAGGGTCTTTGACTCTTGGGGAGAGTAAGACTGATCACCCTCCTCCCCCAGCCCTTGTCCTCCCTCCAGGGTGCAGGGTTTTGCCCAACATGAAAAATCTTTTACATATGCCTCTAACTTACCCCACTCCACTGGCACTTGCTCCCCACACCCACCAAAGTGCAAAACCTGCCTTGGACTACAGATATGGAATCAAGAAACCATTTGTCAGTCCCATTAATGGTACTGGCAAAGCCTTTTAAGCATGTCAGTTGCTCACTCCTTCTTACCCCGAGAGACCAATAAAACATATTTGCAAGGGAAGACACTGCCATGCTTCCAAACTCATTGAACATTTCTCTTAACTCTGAAATCCCTCCATTCTAATTCACCTTTGGGCTGCTTACCTATTGGGGGTTGAATCACAGTTGTGAACATTTGTGAAAAAAGTATTTGTGCAGTGTTTCCCACCAGAAACATGAAAAATACCTATCCTTTCACTGCAGCCACAAAACTCTGCATTTGCATGTGCAAAGTAAGTACCAGCATGAACAAACACCTGTGCACAAAAAATACCAGGTTTGGTAGACATAAAACACTATGTGTGCTTCTCCAAAGCATACCTTGTCCCCGGCTTTGAAGTGGATCCATAATGTTTTCTTTCTACAAATGCTCCATTTGCCTAATAAATTCAGATTTTTCAGTATTATTTTAATTATGCTCTTCCTTTTTTTTTTTCTTTTGGAGTACATCACACACACAAAAAACAAGTGAACAAAAATCAGAGAGATAGCTACACAGGCATCTTGTTCAGGACTACATGACAAGTGCCTGGAAAACATACCTAATCAACATGCAAGTACAACATCTAATGTAAACAACATCTTACAAGAAGTTTCTGTTGATACGCTATGATTTTCTTCCAAAAGGCTGATTCTTGAACTTCTGGTTCTCCGTATCTGTGTGTATGAAGCTGTCTCAACTTCTGTTTCCCTTTTTCATCTTTAGTTTTCTCTTCCTTTTCTCCATCTTCACCCCTGAAAAAAAAAAACCCACAATTTTTGGCAGAGTCGCTAAAGATGATCCTAAAATCTGTTATATATGTGTGCATGTCTATAATCCTACTGTACCCTATCCACTCATGGAGCCCAATTAGCTTTGATGAAGGATGAGGGATAAGGAGAAGGAGAACTTCCTCTTAGATTCAAAAGCACTTAGGATATTTTGTGAATGATTTCCCATCCCCTTGGTAGACTCCTCTTGTAAACTGCTGCAAGGAGACCAGGTTCCCCAGCTCCTAGCACTTCCCAGGTGGCCAGCTTCTTAAGCTGGCAGGACTTTCCCTACCAGCCTACCAACCCAATGAAAAAAAAGTCTTGCCCTGAAAAAGAAATGCTTGCATTACTAGTCTTTTGTTCAAGTTTGGAATGAAAAAATAATCAGAAATGTGAACTTTATCACAGGTTGAAAATTCCCTTTCCCTGTTCCTAAACAGCTCTATAAAAATGAGTTTTCAAGATGGAATACACTGCCTTATTGGGTTTTTAGTTCTGAGACTTTAACATGAGAATTTCAAAATACAGTTTTTCCACTGCTGATCTTTTCAATGCAAATGTCACCTATGGCTTTTATCCCACCATCCCATACCCATCGAATGCCCTAACTGTTCTCTACCCAGCCTAACCTCCACCTTTCCTGTGAGATGGAAAATGTCATTTATCACACAATAAAAATGGAAAACTTTGGTACATAATAAAATAAAGCGCATTCAGGACAGGAATCATTAAAAAAAATAGATATGAAGGTTTAGACTTTATATTTTAACTTCAATTGAGCTTCTGCAAAATTTTTGTATCAGTACACTAGAGAAAATTGGGGGTGCTGGAGCAGAATTTATGTCTAGATTTAAGTAGAATATGTGGAGCCTTGAATACAGAAGTTTATATACCATTGGGAATCTCAACTTGGCCTGGAAATTTAGCAGTCATGAATCTGGGACTGCATGGGGAAGGAAAGTAGGCAGCACAACCCCATCTGTAAATCATAGTCATCAAAAGACTTACCATGAAGTAGCAACGCTAAAAACACTGCCTGTTGTTTGTGGTATCATATAAATACAGTGATCATGACTGGAAAAATGGACTGGAAAGAATGGACTCAATCAAAGAGCTGCATAAAACCTCTATATAATTTCAATTTTATGTTGTCTTCACTGCGTTGGAATGTGAGCGCTCCTTTGTCAGTCTCCAATTGGGGAGGATGACGGGTAAAGAAAATCCTACGTTCAGAGTGTGAGATGTCTTTCTGACACAACAATAAAAGGGTGATGCTCTAAGAGTAAACAAACCTTATTTTTCAGTAAAGCAATGTAGGCTTATGGCCTAGAGTTATACATACTCTGCTTTTTCAGGTTCAGATTTAGTTTCTTCCTTCTCATCCTTTTCATCTTCTTTCACCTTCTGCTCCTTGAGTGAGTCAGATAAAGAAAACGTTAAGCAGTATTATACAGTACAAAACCTTCAAAATATGGTTAAAGGCAACATAGTCACAGTGCTGAATATTAAGGAAGATATTTTAACTGATGCCACACTAAGTGAAAATGACACTTCACTTTGCATTTATAAAACACATTTTGATTTAAAAGCAAAACAACAAAACTTATACACAGGTAAGACTTTGGGGCTTAAATTTTGTAACCTCAGAAAGATTACATATTTTGACAATTCAGTGTGATTCTTTATTAAGCACAGCACACTTAAGAAAAGAATCCAAAGCCTCACAAATATAGTTGCAAGTTTTAATTGAAGCAGACAAGTGAATTTAAGTGAAAATATTGCAAGTAAATGGATAGAGTTTGTTACCTGGACTTTTTCTTGCACCTCAGGTAATGGGAGCAATGAAGGAGTGCTCAATAAATCACTCAGACCAGCATTTGGGTTGTGAGGGATCAACTTATACTGGCCTCCTTCTCTTTTCAAGTCCAAGCCAAATATGTCTGAGAGTAGGTCACCATCATCTGACAAAGCTGTTAGATCTGTCAGATCTTCTGCAGGCAGTGCAGTTTCTGTGGGTTTCCTCTCTCCTTCTTCCCCTTCCCCACGCACTTCATCCTGAGTGGGATCTGGCATATTAGCTAAAAGTTCAGCCACCTTGATCTTCTTAGCCCCTTCTACTAGGCTTCCACCAAGTAATAAACTGTACATGATGCGAAAGAAGCCCCGGAAAACACTAGATGTGAAATGGAGTAAGCCCATCAAAATACTCCAGTAGGAAGAAAACAAAGCCATAACCATATCCTTCATGGTCATTTTCTTCATCTTCTTCATCTGCTTCTTTAGACTCTTCACACTGAGCATTTTCATAAGAGTCATTATGTTATACTTGAAGGCTACTAAAGCTGACTTTACAGTCACAAGGGAGAAAAAGCCCATTCTAGGGTCCTGTTCCTCCAGCTTATCTTTCTCATTCTCTTCTTTATTTGCTGATCTCTCACTCAAATCTGATTCAGAGATCTGAGCAGCCAACTGCATTTCAAAGATGGTATCCTCACAGAAATTAACAAAAAGCTCCATCTTTTCTTTCTCTCCACCTTCATTAACTACATCAAATATAAACTGTCGCTTTGACTCTTTAACCTGAGGTTTCTCCCACTGAGTCCGACTTGACTCACTTATTTCAAAATAAACTCGCTCAATGCGCTTTGCACTGCCCATGATTTCTATGCGCCCAAGAAAGGGCTGAAAATAATTCAGAACACTCTCTGCTAGCTCAAGGAAAGTCTGCAAGCGAGTGTCATGGGGCATGTGCTCTGACAGGTTTGTTAAGAGAACAGCAACATTGAAACCAATGTCTTTAGCAGGTTCGTGGAACCGTTTCACAAATTCTTCATAGTCCAGAGTCTCATTCTCATCTGGCTCAGCACAAGAGAGCAGAAACTCTGTTTCAGATTGGGTGTAATGCTTATGGCTTTCCATTGCCTTTTGAAAGTCCCTCTTTGAAATTACACCTTTGCCATCAGGGTCATATTCCTTGAATGCATCAGAAGAAGTTAAATCTTTCAGTTTTAAGAACATATCAAAAAACTTCAGAATCATCTCTACGTTGTTGGACG